TTGGGTTCTCGGGTACCTCACCAGATGCAAGCAGATATGGGTCTCCGAGATACACGCGGGGAAATTTAGGAGTGTGAGGGCAAAAGCGGACGTCCTGGGTTAGCCAGAGTGAGGGCGAGAACGAACGGACAGATCGAGCCACGGCGGCTCTGAACCTCCTTACCAGAACAGGCAGGCGCGCAGCCTGATAACCATTCCCACTGTGCCTGCTTGCGCACGCACACCCCTTGGACAACCTCTCTAACCACGGCTGGCTCAAATACCTGGCTCGACGTCTTTGCGGCGTTGAGTATTGCTTAGCGACCTGCGCAAGGGTGACGTCTGCCCAGATCTCGGCTGCGGGGTCAGCCGAGAGCGCCGCCGGGCGTGGAACCGCCTCCGAAGCATCTGAGATCGGCGACCCACTGTAGCCATTCGCGTTTACTCATAAATGATCCCTAGATGTTGTATCAGAGCCCCGTGTATCTTTCCCTATCAGTACAATGATTATACGAGAGGCAGAAGTGCAGTCGGGCAGGAATAAAAGTGTGCGGAGCATACCGAGGCTGCACACACTCCCGTTCCTGTTCCCTTCATTTCTGGTCGAATGAGACTGATCTCATGTTTGGCCGGGCTCCGAAGAGCGTGGTGTACCCGGCGACACAGCCGAAAATCAAGCGGCGATGGACGTCGAGGCCATGCAAGAATGAATCACGGAGCACCCTGAATTTTGACACTTCCTGAGTAAAGCCTGATCATGCCGCCCACAATCCGCCGCTGTGTGATTGGTCCAGCGGGAAGAAATGAGGTGATATGCTACAAGCGAGCGGGTAGCTAGTACGAGTCCAGAACGAGCGCGATCCAATTGCAGAACCCCTTGTAACGGTAACCGCTTGCCGTCACGGTTCACCCTCCCACCGGTGGTGTCCACATGCAGCACAGGACAATCCCGCTCCGTGTCTAGACGGACATCGTCCAGGGCTGGCCACGCACCTGTGTCGTTCGACTCACAGACGTGGCTTGCATCCTTTTCCACTTCCTCGCCCTACTCTCACTTCCCTCCTACGTCCGCACCCGCATCTGGAAACTCCTCCGTACCACTATAGTGCTACAGGAACGCATTCAACGCCGTACACAGCTCACGGCACTGAAGATCTCACGGGGAACACACATGGCCTGACCAGACCACAAGAGACCATGGTACGGAAGCTTCGGGACACATCATGATGACAACGGATCCGGTGGTACGTCAATCTCGCCGCTCGTCTCCAAGGCTCCCCTCATCGCGTAAATGCGACAGCCCTCCCAGCATGAAGACCGTGTTGCAAGACAACGGCCAGACGACTCACGAGGCCGCACAAATCGCCCTGGACAAAACGCGCACACACAGTGTGCCTCACATCGTGTGGCAGGACGCTGGATGTGTTCGGGGAGCTGGCGGCACTTCGCGAGTACGGTGTGTGCTCGTCACCACGTTCCGATAGCATGATCTGCACGAAGGTGAGCCTCACGGCATGCACAGCAGCATGAGCTGACCGATGACACCACCCCCTGTGCTACAGTTCCATCCACCTCCCTACGTGCGACTTGCAGCCGTACCACTCACGGCGGTGAGGATTCCAAGACGACCGCATCCGGGCGCGTTCCCAAACACACCCGGGCGCGTGCAGCAAACTTCTCCTGTGGAAGCGACGGGGAGCAATCCTCATCTGCGAGTGGGCACTCGGACAAGCCCATCGCCTTCGCACGCAGCTCTCTGGGGCGTCGATGTCGCCAGAGAACCCCTTCTTGTCCGGGAGAGTGCCGGAGCATCTCCCAAACACACTTGCGGTGCACGGCAGGTCAGGCGGTGGGGAAACTTACGGTTGACGGCACCGGGGACCTCGTACGACAGATCTGCGGTCCCGCTTGCCGCTTGCGGGTGCAACACCTACCGCTCAGCTGAGTCGTGCCCGTGCCGGCCCGCGAAGAAGGACGTGCTCGCCCTTGCATGAGCAGCACGAGCGGCGAAGTCACGGTCTCGAGCGGGGTACTCGGAGAAGTCCGACTCTCAGGTCGTTCTTGGGTGTGTCCGTCGGGATCTCTTCTCGTCGCCTACCTGGGCGTGCTGGAAGATATCCCGAGGGCGCCCTCGGAACGTGGAGAGCGAGGCGAGGCGAGGCGAACGGACTTACAGCGGGCAGCATCGATGCGCTTGTACGCGCGGCCTGCGGATCTCCGGGTCAAAGCTCACAAGTAGACGATGTGCCACTTACCTTCGCGGACACGCCTGGAAGTGATCCCACTGCTCCCCTCAGTGGTCCTCATACGTGCCATGTTCGTTGCGGCGGGTGGAGGATGTGCCCGCTTCGCGCGGCGGATTCGAGCTGAAGAGCGCGGCACGCGGGCACTCTTAACTCCTGGTCAAGCTCGGAACAGGCGCCCCGGGCGCGCGGCGCAGATGACCGTCCTGGTCGAGGCATTTGCCGGTCTCGCCACGGCGTCGCATCTGGCGAGTTGCACTTCCAGGTATGGCGTCATCTTCGCGCTCGTCGAACAGAACGGACTCTGCACTCACGGCACAAACTCGAGTCCAGGGTGCTGGGGTACCCGCAACGACACCGGTGGCTCGCGTGCGAGGTCGCAAAATCAGCGCTGCGCGGGCTCGCGCCGCGAAGAATTCGTCAAAACGGTCTTAAACTTACCGGGTGCGCACATACCTCCGTTTCACGCGCACGGTACTCCTTGAAGTTGACAATGATACTCCCGCAGCACGCACCCACCGTCAAGTCTCTCGCGCGACGTCGTACGGGCGCTCCCATCACCTGTCAAGTGTCTCCCGATAGCGTGGCGCGGAGGACGGCTGCAGTCGACCGAGCTGGTAGCCTCGCCCCTCTGCAGCGGAGGGTGGGCGATTCTCACCTTTCGGCGCTGGTGTTCCTTTCTCCCTGGTCGCACAGAGTGGACTCCCTGGGCACAAGACCTGAGTACTAGGGCACCCGCAAGGACACCGGCATCTCGCTCGGACCTCCGCGCACTGCCGGATGGAGTGCGAGTCTGCGAGGTCGAGCACTGCGAAGAATCAGTCCGAATGGTACCAGAAGTGTCCCAGGTGCGCGACATACCCTGTTTCGTGTGTACCGTGCTCACTCGGCCGGCCTAGAAGGACGCGGACGTCTCGCGCAGCCGTCGCGAGCGGACAGGTCTCCCGCGCGGGCGCTCCCATCGACTGTCAAGCGTCTCCCGGGAGCGCGGTGCGGCGGTCCGTCCCGGCTGCAAATCTCGCGCAGAGCGTATGACGACTCGCTCTCTGGGAGTACGGCATCCTTCGCGCGGCCTTCCTCAAGACGGTGCCTAGTGGCTACATCTCCACGAGCACTGTTTGGGAGTGCGACGAAGCCCAGCGGATGCTCGCAGGTTCACCTGGTGATACGAAGGCCTTGCGCCGGAGTTCACCCACGGTACGGCAAGAGCCTCGGGCTCGGGCTCGCGACATACCTCTCTCACGCAGCTTCTGTCTCTACCGCAACTTTCGCCGTCCCTGCGGCGCGAGCCCAATCGACGCCGCAAGCATATAGTCATTCTGCCCGAGGTAAGAGGGCGAGCGCGGGCCGCCGCGAGCTCTCGCGGTCTCCCGATTAAGCGACGGCAGGGTGAGCGCCATTTTCGTCTTGCGCGAATCCCAGTGTGTGGCTGATTGTGCGATACTACCAGGTAAGCAGAGCGTCGCCAGAAACGAGCCCAGGAGCGAGAGCAAGCAGGCGAGGCAGGCCGTAGTTGTGGTGCAGAGCAGAGATGCGGCGAGAGGCACGACGCGACTTGGCCGTTTCGACCAGTGCCATAATAGGCGCCCGTTGTGCGCGACACGCACGAAGTGGTTTCTGGGTCGTTCTGGTGGAAGTAGATGCGCGTTTTTCGAGTTCTTTGCAGTGTATCAACGTAGTGTTTCAATGCGAGTATTTTGAGACCCAGAGAACGAGTGTGAGCGCAGTCTGAGTGCCTCGTATCCTCCCAGTGCCCGCTCCCCGTACCTCCTAGTACCCACGCACGGCGTCTACCTAGCCCCAGAATCCACGCAGAGGACAGAATTCCATCTGGGAGATCTACAAGCATCCGCAAGATACCCCGCCAGCCGAGATCCCCCCTCGTCCGTCCGCGCGAGTCCTTGGCGCCCGCGTCCCCGCACATCGCGTACGCCTGCCCCGCACCGCCACCACGCACCGCCACACCGCGCACACACAACTCCATCTCGCCCGCGCCCTGCGCATTCGTGCCGAACAAAATATATTTTTCTGTCCTATGTACACGCCGCCCCCTGTCTGTACTCCGCCCCA